TTTCAACCTTCATTCGTTTTCTTGTCTTTTCATGTTCCTTCTGTTTTGCTGGTGTCGATAAGTTCGATGGGTTTTTTGTATTTTTAGACCGGCGAGTAAATCTGAAAGAAAATGGTCAAAATGTGGTTCTAGGCGAGTGTTCGTAAACATATAAGACGGAGAATGCGCACAACGGAAATATTTGAAGGGCAGAAAAGCATATCTGACATAGTTGATAAATAAAAGACATCACAATGCTCGCGGTCTCGAAAAAGAGCGGCGGTGATTCTTATGATTAAACCCTTGGTTTTGCTTGCGGAGCCTACCGCGACCCATACTTGCTGCCGCTCTTTCCTACACACAGATGGTACGGTCCCAACAGGGTCAACCGTCCGTTCGAACTGTTCGAACGAAGGGGTCGCATTTTGGTCGGAAGGGGGTCGCAATTTCGAGGACTGCCAGCCACAGGCGCGTGCGTGGCGTATCCGAGGGCAAGAATTGTTTGTGCAGACCGCATTAGATTCGATTAATTATGCACAGAGAGACAGTTTTAGGCAAATTACGGTGTTTTCCTTGAGGAATAGAGAACAGTTGAATGCATCTCCATGAAAAGTTTGACTTCTTGTGGCTGAAATTGAACTTCTTCGGGAACCTACTTTTCTACGGACGGTTCTTCCACAAAATCGTGAAACACATAAGAAAGAAGAAACCTCGCGGTCTTCAAAAATGTCTTCGCCTCTTTCCAACATGCTCTTTGAAGGAAGTTATTATTGCTGAAAGCTCGAAACCTCGCATGTGCTGCTCAAAAACCTATGGGATCCAAATGTTCGAACGTGGGATTTTCTCGAAAAATGAACTTTGAAAAATGGTTTAGGGCTTGTTAGAAAGAGCAAATTCTGCTCTTTCACCCCATGGAAAGAGGGAAACGCAGCAATCAAAATGAAGCGAGTTATGCTCGTTGAAAGCCCAAAAACTCGCGATTTCAAAGAATGTGTTCGGCAAAACCGCCCGAAATGTTCGAACGTGGGATTTTCTCGAAAAATGAACTTTGAAAAATGGTTTAGGGCTTATTAGAAAGAGCAAAACCTGCTCTTTCACCCCATGGAAAGAGGGAAACACAGCAATCAAAATGAAGTGAGTTATAGTCGCTGAAAGCTTAAAAACTCGGTTTTGCACGGGAACTGTTCGAACGGGGCAAATTTTTGAAAAAGGGGACAATCACTAACTTTTTATACTCTTTTGTTAGAGAAATATTTGAAGTTTCTAAAACTTTTACAGATTTTCAAAATGTCGCATACGAAAGATTTTATGGGCCTTCAAAGTTGGAGGTGCGCCTTCTCAGAATTTTGGGTTTTCCGCTTCTGACAGAAATACTTTTGGGAGAGTTAGGTCATCCTTGCAATTTTCTGTAAAGCCACCTCAGGCACAGTTTAAACCTACCTCAATAAGTGAAACAAATACGTCTCAAGAAAGTTACACTCTCCTAAAACTTTTTCTTCGCCGCGTCCCAGTTTTCCAGCGTCCGGGTGATACCTGCGCGCGCTCCAAGGTTGACGCCGCAACGCAAACGCTTTCTGCGGCGGTTTCTGACGCAATCATGTCAGTCCTACTCTTCTTTAATCCTTCCTCTTTTTTCAGCTGTTTGAGCAGAAGTTCGTCAGTCTTCATGTTACTTGTTGGATATCCCTCCATTTGGTCTTACACATTTCGCTTTCATCCTCATTTTGGCGTGATTGTGAGCGAACAAAAATTTTGATCTCGCGAGGCTAACCATAAAAAATAGCTTTCATTAGCCAGTGCCCTGTGATTCTTGCTCCTTTGGGGCTCATCTTAGGAGATGCATTGATGGAGAACGTAACTCTCTTTGATTTACTCCCTTGAACTGCTCTTGTGATTCTTTCGGAAGCATGAAGTTTGAAGTTTTGGGCAACATGAAAAAAATATTGAATTTTTTTCAGAAATTCAATGATTTTTTGAAAACAATTCAATTCAAATTTCAGTGAAGATCTCAATATTCAAATGTTCTGTTCATATTTCATGGAAGTTCATTGTCCATTTGAAAACAATGAACTTACGAACTTACGAACACAACATTTGAATATTGAATTCTTTACTGAACATTTGAATTGAATTTTTTTCAAAAAATCATTGAATTTTTGAAAAAAATTCAATGATTTTTTGAAAAGAATTCAATTCAAATGCCAGTGAAGAATTCAATATTCAAATGTTTTGTTCTATGTCATGGAAGTTCATTGTCTTTAAAAGGTTTTAGTTCACTGTCTTTGAAGTAAAATGAGTGAAATAAATATTTCACTTAACATTTAGTCAGCACATTCGGCACTTCCATTACCTAAGAGGGGGTCGCAACTGGACCCCCTTGAGATAAGGGGGTGACCCCCTTGAGAAAAGGGGGTCGCAAAAACCCTGAAAATGTTCGAACGTGACGGTTGACCCCTGGTTGCCAAAAGGCAGGCCATTTATAAACAAGGAGAGGCAGTAGCGATGCACGGATGAATAAAACCAAAAAAGCGGTCTAGAACCCAAGAGATGGGACCCCTTCTTCGCCAGTTGGTTTTCGTATTGATATGATTCTCGTCGATGCTGTCTTCTTCAATGCTAACGCTCTTTCTCTGAATGCTAGAGTCAGACGGCGAGAGGGTGGGCGTGCCGTGGCGCGAGCGCGGCCGGGGGATTTTGTTGGGCGCGTTGTCCGGCATATCCGTCATTGCGAACGCGCAGTCCCGCACAGAGTGAATATCGGTTGAGGATTCCTCAAAGGGTTGTCGAGGATTTTTGCTTTGGTGCTCTCGCTCAATTCACGTTCTCCTGCGCGGACATTCACACTCCATGCGCGAGCCGTCTGTGTTCTCCGCGCGTACGTTCACTCTCGGCCGTACTCTCGCACAGTACAAAGCCATGGTCGAGGAATTCCTCGACCGCTATCCACCATGGTCCTGCACCCTAGGGTGCCCGCCTGCCTCTCGATAAGGTACACTTCTATTCTTCGACCTCCGACCTAATCTGAATCCTCCTCGGAGATAAGCCGTTTGGACAGATGTGAGCACTCGAAGTAAGCGTAAATTACGATGTTCCTGCCGTAGTCACGTACAATGCGCGTCGTATGGACGCGATTTCGGCTTAACGCTGCGCGCGCTTCGCGCGCAGGCTAGGGGAGGTATCCCGGGTGCCGCGCTAGACTAGGCGCGAGGCCACTCTGGCGTGCGTGCCATCCTCCACCTCCTACATGAACGGCGCTCAGTATAGTTGGCGGGTTGGCTCGACATATTCTCTCTCCTTTGAGAGAGCGCAGAGAAAACGAATAGTGGGAGGCGAGCACGCACTTCAGCGCGTCAATGCGTCGCGCATTGTACGTGACTACAGCAGAACATTATAATTCACGCTTACTTCGGGTGCTCGCTCTGTCCAAACGGCTTAAGTCGTCCGCCTCAACGATTTGGTTCACTTACTCCTGCACATTTGTCATTTCTCGTATAGTGTTACGAAGACGTCCACATTGTTGTGTGGGAATAGTAATGGCAGGAATGTCATATTTTCCAGGGCAGCGCTGAAATATTTCAGCTTTATCTGGCATAGACTTCGTTAGAAAACCAAAACTCAAATTAGATAGATTTGTCATGAACATGCAGCTCCCAATTGTTTGAAGTGTCTTTATTTCCGTACTGCAGACATCTATGGGGTCTTGTTTCAAACAGAGTTGCCCTCGAAAGACGGCGTCACGTTAATTCTTCCGAGAGTGAACTCTCGCGCTCCGGTTTGGGAACGATTACAGCTTTCTTCGCAGAGGGGTCTGCGACATCACCACCATCAGCCCTCGGGTAGTTAGGGGAGGCAGGGTCAACCCTTAAGGCCGATGTCAGACTTTGCGAATCGCGCGATTCGCTAGCGTCTGCGGTCGCGTCGCGGCCAGTGAATCACTCAATTGGCTGGTACCGCAACGCGACCGCGGACGCTAGCGAATCGCGCGAATCGCTAGTAGCGAATCGCGCGATTCGCAAAGTCTGACATCGGCCTACGTTGGTACAAGTACCAACGGGGGGGGGTCGTAGTTTGTTGAAGTTTGTGGTGGGGGGGTCGTACTTGTTTCGGTAGCACGAAATTACATGTGATGAGGTGAGAGCGCGCGGGAGAAAATTTGCCGTTTCAGCGTGCGTATATATACTCCCTAGCACTGGATGGGGGAAATATAGGTGAAAAAGAGGGAAAGTGGGGGAAATGAAGGAGAAGTTTGCGGGTTCATGGTAATATACCCCCCCCCCCCGCGTGAACGCGGTTTTTTTGAGCGGAAAAAGGTGTGGTTGCGAAGGGGCGTATGAAACTACTCGTTGAAGAGGGGGCGTTCGTAAAAAATCTGCAAAGGGACGAAACGATAGGACCGACCCTGGGGGAGGTTTCTACATGCGTCATCCTCCCTCCTCCCTCGCCACCGTTGCCAGCAATGACTTTTCTACCTCTCGTGCTTGATTCTAACACCACCCCGACCCGACACCACTGCGACTCTGTTTACTGTTCTACCTCTCAACGGCCGTCGAGGGGCGGAGGTAAAAAAAAATTGGCTGTCGAGATAGTAATGGTCTATTTTTCTTTACTTCATGCTCCTTTCCTACAGTTGGCGTCCGCCAGAATCGCTAAAAAAAACCCTTGAACGGCTTTTGTCTTCCAACGACGACCTTCTTACCTTCCAAATTCCAAACGAGATCCGATCCCTTCGAGCTAGTGGTTGACGGACTACTTGAGCTCAGCCCTTCACCGCCTCTGCGCTCTCTAGCGGTCGGCTTAGTCCTAGGGCATTCTCTGATTGCATTCCTCTAGCCATCGCGGCAGGACCATTGAGAAAAAATCGAGTAGTCCGTAAACCCGAGCTAGTTAACCTTCGCTCATCTCGAATACCGTAATAACTTCGTAGGGGGAACGCAAAATACTTTGCCCTCCTCTGGTTTGGTCGAACGAACGATTTCTCCTGTTTCCATCAAAATTCGAGGACTAGACAAAGGCTGGGGCATCATCACACCAAGAGAATCCGCTGCGCTAACTGGTATCGGATGACTTGAAAATTTGGACGGAATCCGGTCTACACAATCCCGGGAACGGCAGTGTTCCATCGATGAATTTTCCGTGCCTCCTTGGGTCAGAATCGACACTGGCTAAGACGTAGTCTGCAAGGCCATAAGGCAGTGCTGAGCTCATTCACGGCATTCAATTCCAGAAACTTGAGAGGCTTCAGAAACTCACGAATTCTACATAGACTACCATCAGTGTAATCAGCGCCCCCCCCCCCCAAGTCAGAAAATCCATCGAATGGAAAATCGACCAGCACTACATCCACAATATTCTCTTCACATAACCTCCTTCAAGTTACAGTCTGTTCTACCTCTCAGATGGTTCCTTGCCAGAGGGAAACATTCATAAGAACGAAGCCATTATTTATACGGTAAACGCCGCAGTATTTCTGCTGACTCGTCCAGCAGGTGGTCACTACACTTTCGCAATAGCGATTATTTTGATTGGCTAGCACTTATCAGGTAGGTTGCAATATGTCGTTTTTGAATGTTCATAATTCCTTTGGAATGCACGATTAGCATCTCACCAGGGAAGGATGATGGGTGCGGAGAGGTGCGCTATGAAGTGAAACAAATGATCATGGGTATGGATCCAGGACGTAGCTGCGGAATCTGTCGTGTGCCGCAAATTGGCGCGGAAGACGATGTCGCTGATAGTTGACGATGTTTGTTTCTTCACACGGTTAACACAGTGAGGAATCTGCCCTCAGCAGCAGCGCGCTCAACGAAACAGAGAATATAATGAAGATACAATAAGAGAGACAGTAAGAGTAGAGAAAAAATAAGTTATACGATAGTGGTAAGGACGGTGGGCTTGGGATTTCGGTGTCAGTGGTTCGGATCCCTCGCGTGTTTTTCCTTTTGCATTTTTGTGACTGATTATTTGGCAGTAGTGAAACATGATTCCTTCATCATTGGTCAGCCCTACTTGCTTTTGGATGAGTTTGAGGTCGATAACTTCGAATTTTTTCCTAACTTGCATGCACTGCATAAGGTTAAGGCGCGCCAGTATACGGAGCGCGCTTCAGCCGTTTTTGAGTGAACGAATGTGAGATCTGTGTTCAAGTAGTCCAATAACTCCTGGGGCCGATTTCTAGAAAAATTCGAGATTTTGAATTAACTTCAAAAAAGTGGGCGAGTCACTCATTGATGCCTACATCCATAGCCGGTAGTTCCAGGGTTGACCTATTTTGGACGACGGCGACCCTTCAAATTTGAAAATAATAAAGTGCGGGTGTTGAAATCACGCGAACAGAAAACCAGACACTGCTTTACACTCTTCAGAAACCAAAAAAAAAACTTATATCGTCTCAAGGCTATATAGGCTTCGATGATAGGCTGATAGGATGAATGGATAGATGCCCATCCAGCTTATTTCGAAAATTGGTCGAAATCTCAAATTTTTGCTACAAACTTGTCCCTAGGGGTATTTTTACCTCCCGAACACGAATATCACACTTGTTTGCTGCAAAAACGTCTGCCAAGAGTTCTGTGGGCTCCATGTGCAGTCTTTAGTAAGTACCGCTCAAACTGGTTAGAAACTCCTCGCAAAGTCTTTGCACGGGTGACTACAGGCAAGCATTGATCGAGTAAAGTTGTTGGGAGCCTTTTTCAATCATTTTGCAGCGAAGGCAAAAAAGAGAACCCGCCAGGGAATCGATCCTACGACGTCTCGCACGTGAACCCGGACTACTACCGCTGCACTACTTTCCTTCATAACTCCATTCGGAAAATCGTTTGGCAGATTTGGAAAGCAGATTCGAGATCAGCGTCCAAAAACGCATCCACCGGTGTAGGTCTCTTTACATATGGCCACTTCGACCAATCATCCGTTCCTGGTAGATAGATGATTTACCACCTTATTGGGCCAGGTTCGCCACTCACTCAGAGACTTGACTTTCTTCTCGAAGAACTGTAGCATCTACGTAGGGAAAGGCCCCCAAAATCAGAACTTTTGTAGTTCTGAATCTTTTCTCCTTCACATCGTGCCGCGTTCACCCGTCGTGGAGTTAACATTTAGATGGAGGTGAATGTTCTTTCTAAGTGTGTAGGTTTTTTTACAACGCAACCGACAGCGGTAGGCGGAGCTTGCGAGCCAAGGAGTGATTGGGGTACCCCCAGGAGGCCCGTCGCGCGGCAAGAAGGCAAAGTCAGCGGACGAGTCGCGCGCGTACTATAGGGATTTCGCGTCAAGTTAAATAGAGTGTCCCACTGCACGTCCTACATCGCACACGCGCTGCAACTCGTCCGCCGACTCTGCCTTCTTGCCGCGCGACGGGCCTCCTGGGGGGTACCCTTGCGATTGGAGCAAGCTGTGCCACGCCTTTTGTCGCGTACTTCGCGTCACAAAAGGGGTGCAACATCAGCGCTTGTGCACCTGTCTACTACGCTCGAGTGTGGAACAGTGAGTGTGCCCTAATCCCGGAGGGTGGCTTTAATAGACACGGCTCCGGGATTGAGGCAGGGCCACCTGTTCCATTACCGAGCGTCAGTGGTTGATAGGATACCTCGCCGTACACCAGTAATGTTTGTAATTGTGTTACGGTAATGTTTATTACAGTTCGGACAAAATTCTAGCTTGAGCAATATAAAAACGTACTGGTCAACTAATATTCCGGTATGCATCTTGACATTCATCGTCAGTGTGCATGCGCTCACAATACCGTATTTGATCGAGTGTTGCTGTATTGTCTCTGAATAGAAAAAGATTGAACAAAATTCAGCACCACATTCTGAGTGACGGCTTTTCTCCTTGTTTCTGGATTCCCGACAATGACACAATCATTCGAATGTAATCGGGTCCACCACTACTCTGTTGCATTGGCAAACACTTATCAGTGACAATTTAGCTATACCAGTTTTGCTCCGCCCGCTATCGCGCGCATCACAGGCTTCAGCGAAACTCAAGGGCCAATGGAATATCAGCATGTACTACTTCATAACCACCTACTGATTGAATTGTGTTTAGACTTTTTCCCAGTTTCGCTGAAGTCCATCGAGAATACGCGTGATAACGTCTGGAGCTGAACTGGCATAATTTATCTCACAACTGTAAACATCCAGCATTCTTCTTGAATTCAGATAATTTAGCGGTGAATAGGATTGCTGTCAGTCTCAAAATGAAAACGAAATATGCCTATTTACATAAGTGAGGCTAATGCTTATCATTTGTTTACATTCACCATTATTTAGAACCCCGAAAGGATTAGCGGTTAATGAGTTTGGGCTTTCTTGATATTGCTTTAGAAATCAAACTATCACTCAACCACATTATCATTTGCTGAAGAATTGATTGAGTTTATGCAATTGACTGCTTTTAAGTAAGCTGGTCATACAATGATACGATGTGCACGGGACCACCTACAAGTGAAGTTTGTAAGGTAGGGGACGCTAATGACAACACGCAGTTACGTGACGCAATTGGCGACTTTTGCGTTCTGACGCGCCTTATCAGCCTTTATCAGTTGTTATCACTTCAATCACCCAGCAACAATGTTCCCGTCCCACCCTTATAACACTTGTAAGTATGGTTGCTCTGGTGTCAACGCGAGCCAGGTAACGGAATCGACGACTTTTGCGTTCTAACGCATCTTATCAGCCCTTATCAGTTGCTATCGCTTTCATTCATGTACCACCAATGTCCCGGGACCGCCCCACATAACACTTGTAAGTATAGACGCTCTAGTACCAATATGAACGACAAAACGAAATTGGCGATGCTCGCTTTCTAGCCCCTCTTATCAGCTATTATCAGTCGTTATCAGTTCCTATCACGTACCACTTGTGTCCCCATCCCACCCCCTATAACATATGTAAGAACCATGGCGCTATCATTGCTGTGACCGAGCTACGAATTTCGTGACAAACAGACGCACACACACACAGACATACTTAGCGAATTATATATAGTAGGATGACCGTTTTTGCTATGCATGTATTGAAAATTTCACTGAAAAGTCGTAGATCTGTTAAATAAATAACTGTCAAAATGGACAACTTAAAGAGGAAGTTTTCTTTTTTGTCCAACCGCTAGTTAGCTGTTTCAGGGCCCGCAGTTCTTGGGCACTATCGCAAGATGCGTAGATATTGTGGACGGCCGCTAAACCGCGTCTACCATTTTGGTTTTTGGTCAAAAACAGGACTATATCTCACGGGGAAGGCAAACTACATATGTGAACAATTTTCGGCGCCCACGTCTCTGGTAGGAGGGTACATTCAAGCGAGTGAGCCAATAACTGCAATTGGAATCAAGCCTTTGGCAGGGAAAGGGAATTTGTGAGAGCATGGCAATATATGTATGTGCCTTTCTGATGCGTTTTCTACTTTCCTGGCGTTAGTCCTTGTATCACCTTACATTCGCGCTATGTTTGTGGATGTCCCCCCCCCCCTTCACCTCCCCGAGGACATAAGCGCCCATTTTTCATCTCAGTCGCGAGCTTTTCTGTGCCCACCACTACTAGGTTCGCTTTGGGTGCAGGGTCGCGTGATCTGGAACGGAAAATAGTGGCTTTGTCTTATGCGATGTTGATTGGAAAAGAGGAAGGAAGCGCAGTAAGTAGTTAGATTAATGGCTTTAGAAATTCTCAAGACTGTTGGCACGGACTTTTTTAGGCTGTATGAGAGCCGTAACTTTTGATACGGCCAGCCTCTGCATGTGTTTTTGTTAATAGCAGAGCAAGCTGTGTCGCAGATTTCCCCCCCCCCCCTCCTCCACTCCGTCGAGCGATAGACATATTTGTGTGCAGAGCCAGGAATCCAAGCATGATGTTGTTAAAAATAAATTTTCTTGATGGATCGTGTTATAGGTTGGTGATGGCTACGGACGAATCGTGCGACTAGGCGATCAGGCGATGATTCACGAAAGAAAGTATACTTATCGATTAGGCGAGTAGTCGATTACGACGAGGAAAGGATACGTATTGATCTGTTGCTCCGACCATTAGAGCGCTTGCCTAATCGCCTAATACCCATACATTTCATTGCAGGCTGATCGTCGATAATCGCCTAGTCGCACGTATGATCATCAACCCTGAACTCGCTTACGCCTCTTTGCTTGTGACTAAACGTTGATATGATGATGTGTAATTGTTCTTGCCTATGTGAAGGAAAGAGAGTTACCTTATTTTTTCTACCATATTTGCACCGCGTTATACATTCACTAACCTCACTATCATTCGCAGGTCATTTTGCGGATGGATAGACATTTCCACAAACATAACGACTGATAAACCGACAAGCCACCAAGTATCGGAAGCGCACGGTATAATGGAGTGATAAAAAGTCAAAAGATCGTACTTCAACTCCTTATCTTTGTAAAGAAGAATCTGTTGTTCTGGGGACACATCAGTTGCTATGGCTATGGTCCTCTTGAGTTCAAAGACTGTGGCGTCTATCGGAACGATAATTTTTGCCTAAAAATTTCAATATTCACTTTATTTGAGAAACAAACCCCGATTCCTCCTACACAATTACGGCGTTCATGTCCCTAGGCTGGAAATACAAAACAGAACTGATGGTAGGTGACACTAGAACTAAATCCAGGAGGGGAGGAACGCTAGGGAGAACGCGAATTGCTCACATTCTCCTCCGCAATCCCTTCCCTCCAAGGCTTAGTCCCAAACACGATAATTGTTGCATGCCCTCGCCCCCAGGCATGAGCGCTTAATGAAGCGTTCATAGTTGGCGATCGTGTCGCTCAATGGGCGGAGCAACAAATCGATACGTACCCTTCTCTTATCGCCCACTCGCCTATCGCCTACTCGCCTACTCGCCTAATCGCCTACTCGCCTACTCGCCTACAACGCTCTATGGGCGGAGCAAACCAATCAATACGTATGTAGTCTTCACCGCCTAATCGCCTACTCGCCTAATCGCCTACTCGCCTACAACGCTCTATGGGCGGAGCAAACCAATCAATACGTATGTAGTCTTCACCGCCTAATCGCCTACTCGCCTGATCGCCTACTCGCCTACTCGCCTAATCGCCTAATCTATACGTATATTTTTCATTATAGACTAATCGCCTAATCGCCTAATCGCCTAATCGCCTAATCGCACGTACGATCGCCAACTCTGAACGCTCCATAAGTCACCGCTGATATCAAACGGAAGCAGTGCATTGGCGTTCGCGTATTGCTTGCGGAAATAAAACTTCATGAAAGCGTTCACGGCGCTGGTGTCGTCAAATTGCGGGTTGGCTTGTGGAGTAGCGGAGAAACTCCGGGGAAAATGGAATTGCTAAGATACCTCCCCTGTTTCTCCTTGAAGTTTGGCCCTACGAGGGCGACCAAGAGGGCATGCTGAGTGTGTTGGACTCTCCGGATATCGATGACCCACCAAGGATACTAGCGGCTACGTCTCCTTATCCGATAACCCATGTCTAAGCTGAGTGTTCGATAAGCAAAAACAAGCACGTACATCCTTTACACCTTCCATAACACTATGCACGACAATTTCGAGAACAGCGGTCATGCTGGTAAACTGTGTAGGAGATTGAGTAGGCGAGCTCGACGGGGACTCTGAAATGATGTCACATCACTGAAACTGCCTCAAGCTTTTTGGCAATCGCCTTAGCTTGCGTAGGCTTACCCCGTTTCTGAGTTGGGCTGGCAGACATCACACTATCGACGACGTCTCAAGTAGGTACTCTAGCTAAATGAACCACACTACGAATGAACTGCTCATGTAGGGCTTATCAGTCCAAGAGAAGCTATCACCTTCACAAGCACGAAGTCAAAAATGAAAGCGCATGCTTGTACTTTTTCTGAACGATGCACCCATAACATAGCGCTTTATCCCACCTGAAAAATTTCAAAAGAAAAGTAGTTCATTTCAGTTCGCTTCCGCTCACGTTTTTTACCGTGACAGCTTGGGGCGAAGTAGCAACTATTCTGTTCTAAGAAATTTCTATACAATATAGCGAGAAGCTTACTGAAAGAACTTAGAGTTTTGAAACGGACATAAAGGATAAAGGATAAAGCATTTGCCGTTGATCAATCCCTTTTTGGGATGCGGCACGCATTCTACTTCCATTTGTACATTCGTAGTGGCGTTTGAATGCGATGGCCTATACAATGACTTGCGGGGGCCAGCCGATGTTCAAGTCAGTGTTTTTATCCTCCCAGACAAGTCTGGTACCAATTAACCGACCCCGGAGGGATGGAAGGCTTGGTTGGCCCGGGCGACTCACGACCCAGGATTTGATCCCCGGACCGCTCGCGTGGTAAGCGCGCCACTTGTCACTACACCACTTCCGCCCAATACCTCTTCCGATGTGGGAACATTATGTATACGCGCCTCACTGTCAAAATTTCCTAACCGTCGTCCAATAAACAATAATATACAATAAACATGCTACGTCTTAGGCAGTGTTCAGAGGTGACATTCGTACTAGGGAATAGCACTAGCCAATTAGTCTGTCGCGAAAAGGTTATACTATCATTTATTGACGATTAGTGAGACTGCGACCGCTCAATGTTGAACCGATGCGTATTTCTGCTACCGCCTACTGGCCTACTCGCTTAATCGCTTACTCGCCTGGTTGCCTAATCCATACGTACTCTTTCTTCTTCAGTCGTCGCCTGATCGATACGTACGTAGCGCGTCAAGGGCAGAAATGCGAGTACAGCCGGTTTGGAACAACAGCAAACACACGAACCAACGAGACTTATTCACCCACAATCAACAATTAGTTCTTGCCCCGCTGCACGAGGTACTGACATTCAAGTTGATGCTAGCTGTGGACGATCACTTACTCTATGATGAGAAACTGCTCCAAGCTATAGAAGCAAATCCGGTAGCTGCTTACGCCTTGCAGGTGGCAGCCATACTTGGGAATTTCTCACTTACCACCGTCAGACACCCTCGCGTGTCACAAGTTATCGTAATGAAAGCTTATCAAGATTATATGCTCACGATCTGACGATACTAAGAAGGAGTGCAGGTCAATATCTGGTGACCCTGTTTTTTCAGCTCCAGTCGAATTTCTAAATTGTTGATCGATATGAAGCATACTCTTACGATAGCAGTAGTCGGACCGTCCTTGTCATGCTACCTGATCCACATACCGGATATTCAACCAGGAGTGATTCTTCAGGCGCTAAGGGCAGAGCATCGAACCTATAATAATTATTGCCAATCTCACTTACGGAACTCCCATCTAGCCGTCACATACGTTCGCACACAAACTGCCTTACTGCTTCAGTGCGTATAAAGACCCATTCTACTCAGACGAAGGGACACAAATAGATGTCACCGTGGCCTCTTCACATTCATATCGACTCCATCGACTGACGAATCAATTGAGAAAAAATCTTCATGTACCATGTACCTACGTAGGTCAACCGCGTTCACATCATTATCGCCTCGGAACCTTTTAATAGACAAAATTACGAGCTCGCTCGCACATTGCCTCAACTATGCATCTTTAATCTCGCATCTTCAATTACCACTGTTTCGTCGCTGATGGAGAGTTGCACCTGCGCGAAAAAGTAATTCAAAATTTACTGAATATGGCAGTAATTGACTTTTTTCGAGACACAGTTTGACCGACTTCTGAGCAAGGCACCTAAGTGGTCCGCTCGAAAGGTGGTGTATATCGTTGTTATTTGAAACTCTCTGCCATAGTACAAAAGATGAACCCGTCCGCTGTTTTATGAGTCACTTCCTTCTATGAGCAATTCACACTCCAATTATAATCACTTTATCTGATTGCAGACGCGGCCTTAGCATGGCGCCGTAACTGCTAATTGTCGCCTAACTAGCCGAACATAAATTCATTTCACCGTACTCCAATGACTTCATAATCATGCTTATCCAGTGTTCCATTCTACTCTTCTGCCCATTTGCACTGTCACCTTTCGACTTCTGTCAGTTTATGAAGCACATTGAGTAGAAAATACAAAGGTCGAAAAGCCACAAATGCCAACCGTATAAGTGGATTCAGCAGAGCGAGCAGAAATTTCTTCCCACCCTAATTTGGGATTTATCATGATTCAGTGGCTAAAACTGGAACTCTTAAAGGAATCTTGCGCGGAAAAATCATGATTCTATTTCAGCCATAAATCACTGGCTTGAGACTCATTATCCACGATAATAGTGAAAAGAACTGAAGTATTTGCTTTCGTTTTGATTAGAAATTCGAAAACTCGAAAAGGCTGCTACGCGTTCGAATTGCCCACGGACGTCTTTCACGAATGCTGGCGACGGGGATGCTCAAACTTGGTTCTTGGAGTGCATTCACTAGAAGCTCTTTCTGGCCTTCTGCTTCGTTGCATTCACATCTTACACTTCTACTCCATCCTATTCCATCGATCGATTTGTCTCCACTCTCCGAAATCGCGCGCTTTAACCCGATTCTCTCATTGCGTCGCCTGGTACGTAGCCGGCCAAACGCCGTCTTCTTTCCATGCCTCGCCTGGCTCTGCCTCCTGGTCCTTCGATGGTCCATAACGTGTAGTTTTTGTACGTTTGTTTCTCTTCAGAAACCGAATCTTCATGCGTGAAACTTTGTGTGCTATTTCCAGTGATCACAACTGACATATTCATGTTAGGAAAGAGTGCAAGAATTTTCCGCGCAAGATTCCTTTAAGAGGCAAAAATCACAAACTTTTGTTGACGTAACATATTTAGTGGAGCCACTGCTTATGTGGGCTCATTACCAACTCATCCAATTCCTTGTCTCGGGTATCCTCAAAAGGCCCATTGCGCCGGCGAAGCGAAGGAGCGCAGACCGCAGAGGCCGATTTGCAGCGCAGATTGTAGCGGATTCAGCGTTCAGTTAAATAGAGTCTTTTATACCGTCTGTATATCGCACAGCAACGCCCTTTCGACTTCGTCCCTTGCCGTCGCGTCTCTTCCTCGCCGCTCGACGCGCTCCGAGGACACCCCTCGGTTCTTATCCATTTCCTTCGTACTCGAGTAGGTCGCACAAGCACAGACATCCGCTGAAAAGCTGAATGCGCGACTCTTACACAATCTCCCTGAGCCATTGAGACTTGCAAATCTGAGCAATTCGCCTACGTTCACGGTTCGCATTGCAAGCAGTCAAGCATTACCAGCCAATAGAGCGAGTACTGGCCGCAATCTCGACGCGGGCGCTAAGCGATATCGCCTAATGCATAAGTCTGACATCGGAATGAGAGTTTGCAAATATGTTCGCACGCGCCACGGCAACTGCCCCCCCTCTCCAACTATGTTCGCGCCAAATTTCCTTCTCGCACCACCTCCTTCTGTGTAAATTACCTTAATAAAATATTAAAGATTGAACATTTCACAATTATTTCCGCTATTGATCTAACATATCAGAAAAACGAGCTATACTCTGGAACCCTTCAAAAGTTGTTGCGTTCTCTCCCATCCACTTTCCACTTTTGCAACGGTCCTGAGATCATTTCCTACGCTTCGCCTCATCTGATTGACCTTTTTTTTGTGGAGTTTGTATTCTTCTAGCCAGCACGCCCATCAAGTGTACCTCTCATTTGACATTCGCGTGGGTCTGCACTTCTTGCTCTGCGCAGAACATGACCCACCTGGCGCCACCTGAAGGCAGCGATTACGATAGAGAGTAAGTTTATTGAGGAAGCATATGCATCAATCGAATCAGTTGCTTGGTTGAAGGAAAAGGAATTTGGCGTATTTACAACGAAACGTGCGCTGGTTCTGAGCAGAACTTCGAAAGCGCTCCGCCCCTGAAAGCGTCCGCCCACAAGTTTACTTGTTGATTTGGACGAGTGCATACGCAGCGGCGCATAAGGCAGATTCTTCATTAAAGCGTAGTTATCGCAAGGGCCACGAATTCCGATGGCAGTTAAAACTAGTTATATGTCCTTCTACTGTCACCTGCTCTATGCAGTGGAAATCAATTGCCAAATAGTCGAGGGAATTCCTTCGGCACCATCGTTCTCTGCTGTGCAGAGTAGAGCATAGTGAATGTACCGCGGAAGCAAAACGCCCCTCAGATTCGAGAGTGCATATTTTGGCGCACGAAACTAAAGATCAGCAAGGAAATCCTCACGGCATGCAGGGAAATCCTCTCAAGCAATATTCAACCCTGTTTGCACCCAAGTGCCCCACTAAGCCCTTCTTGATTTTCATTTATGGCTCCTTCACAAGCGAGGACTGAGGTCCGAGAATCCACACACGTCCGCCCAACCACACGCGCCCCATATTGCTCGAGTCTATTGTAGGGAACTGTTTCGTCTTTGGTCGACGTCTCTTTTCGGTTTTTTCATTGCTGCGTCTACATTTCACATCCAAACAGTCACTTACAAGCGCCATAACACGTCAACTCGATCCTGTACTTTGCCTTTAAGTTCGCCACTCCATGATTTATCGCATTGGATGCCTTGTAGCGAAGTCGAAATGTTAGCGCCTGGCGCTCCATTTGTATTGTCGTTTTCTCATACGTCCTCTTACCGTTTCTGCTGATGCCCTTATTTCTCTGGAAGAGGAGGCGCCCAGAAGTTGCGTACGAAAGAGGAAGGTTTTCTTGCGTTTTTTTCCTGCACTCAATGAATTGATGTAAACACCGCATCATGTTCTCGTCCATGAATTTAGCTCTTCAGGTGCCAACAACAAACATGCCTCTGATCTCCCTGAAGGAGGATGTCGTGAAAA